ACAGAAGCAAGGATAGGTGGGCCTAGCAGGCAGAGAGTATAAGTAAAAGGTGAACGCTGAGAGGAGAATAACGAGGAGCCCTAGAACAAGAGTGAAGGACTCAGGTGGCCATTCACCAACTCACTCAGCAGCCATGGAGTAAGAGTGGAAGTAAGATTTACAGAAGAGAAAGATAAAAAGCCAGAGGCATAAGGTAGTCTGGATAATTTAAGTCAAGAAGAGCTGACAAGAAACATGCCAAGCTAAGGGCAGGCATTCAGAAGAAAGAAGAAGCTTCTGTGTGTGATTTATTTGGGAGCTTGTCTGGGGGACGTTACTCTCCCTCTTTTTAGTGACACACAAGCAAAAGAAATCCAGTGACGGTGAAGGGCAGGGCTGGAACTGGAACCACTGTGGTCCCTCGGTGCTTCCCACGCAGAGGCCGAGGGAAAGCAGAGGGCCCTCAGCACAGCAGTTGAAGCCTTGTCCATCCCTGGCTCTCTGCCACACACACCATCCGACATCCTCGACTTTGGGCCTGCTCTTTAGTAACTCAGAAAAGCAGAAGAGGAAATCGCTTCCCAGGAACTCCCACCTCCTGAGTCCCACTCCTGAAAGGATCAACTTAAGCCTTCATCCTTCAGGAATCTCTGTCCCCTGCCCAGGACTCACTGCGCTATCTCCAGAACCATTTATTCCTTGATGTGTGACTTGGAGACTGAAGGCCATCTTCCCTGTGCCTCTCTCTGGCCTCCCTGCGCTCTCCATCCTGTCTCCCAAGCAGCCTGTTGAGTCGTGTCAGCATGGCTGTGGGTGAACCTCACAGGCACTGAACGAATGCCTCAAGGGCAGTTGGCGTTGCCACAACACAGGTGACATCACAGAATTCCAGGCTCTCCAGGATACAGTAGAATGTCCAGGTGGGGGACTGCTGATGTCATATGATACAGCTCTTAACCCCTGCTAACTACTTCACCCAAAAGTGACCTGAAACTAAGGTGCCATTTCCAAGAGCCTCTCTGGGGACACCGGGGAAGCCCTTAGGCACATTGTCTTCCTAAAGCCGGAAATCTAGCCCTCTGCTTCTCATGTTTTATGTGAGAAGTTGAAAGCTCTCTTCCCAACCACTGCCCAGGGATGGCTTTTTCCTCCTTAAGACCCACACTCAAGTAACGTGAGAAACAGAGGATGCTTAGAAATGAGGTCAGGATAAAGGGAGTAGAACAGATGAGATCTCTGAAGTGAACCAGCACTTGTGCCGATCCTCAGACTTTTAGAGACTGGAGGGTTCAAAACAAAGAGAAGACACATAGGAAGTAATGAAAATTTCACTCAGAATGTCACTAGAGCTCACTCAAGCTATGAGGTTGGTAGTGAAGATGTGACTAGCTCTTGACTGGTCTACCTGGATCCACTGAGCCCAGGTGAGCTTCAGATACGGAAAGCAAACAGTCGTAGAAAGAGTATGATGGCCCAATCTTGAATCAATCGACTGAGGAAAGAGTAGTGGCACCCAGAGGTCAGTGCGCGCCTTCTAGAGGAATCATTAGCAATGGAGACAAAAGCACACAAACACACACACAGACACACGCAGACACGTAAACAGGAAAACCTGCACACAATCACACGCTGCCTAATAACTGTATGCCTGTGGAAATGTGCCTTTGCATGGCATCCCAGGTGGTTAGTGTCATTCACCTTCCTCATGACCACATTCTCATGGTAGTGACCCAACACCAGACCCTGGGTTGCTGGAGAGCTGTTCATTGACCGGAAGGAAGATGTGTGAGACACAAGCCTGTCATGCCAGTGTTGGGGGTAACAGCACAGGAAGACCAGGAGTTCCAGACCATCCTGGACTAAGAAACTCTGGTTCAAAGAAGACAGGCAGACCAGGATGGGAGCTCAGGTGGTGGAGGGCTTCTCTAGCAGACATTAAACCCCAAGCTCCATTTCAGCACCATGTAAACATGCCTTGACATCCAGGAAGAAAGGGAGATCAGAGCTTGCAGGTTATCCTTAGCTGCAGGGTGAGATGGAGGCCAGCCTGGGCTACATGGGAGCTGTTGGAAGAGAGAAAACTGGATTTTCAGATCACAGGCAGGGAGATCTGTCTTGAGAGATGTAGAGATGGGTGACAGAGTTGGTGGCAGTTGGTAATTAGGGTGGCCAGGCACGGTCTTGGGGGAGTGCTGTCTCCAGGATACCATATCCCCCAGATGGCGAGAGTGAGGTCTCAGGAAGGAAGAATGAAATTATCTGAGCTGTTTTGTAGAATTAGGGGAGGCTCCACAGGGACCTTCTCACCCTGTTTATCTGGGAGAGACAGCAGGCCACAGTGACCTTCAGGACTCGTTGGTAGATTCCCAGATCCACTGCATGTAGAACACACCGTGTAACTTCCTGGGCACCTTGATGTGAGTGCTGGGTTGTTGTAAGTGGCTACAATCCACATCACTTAAAGCAGCAGGGATGGAATTTTCTGGTTCTGGAAACCGAAAGTCCCAAATCCTGGAGACTGCCTTCTTCAGAGGGTCCAGGTAGAGGCTCCTTCCTGCCTCTTCCAGGATCTGGGACGTGGATGGCCTGAGTCTCAGTCCCATCCCACCAGTCTCCATCTCTGCCTTCCTCTGAATTTGTGTGCTCTTTATTATGTCTTTATGTGAGACATGGTCTTGATGAGTAGTCCTGCTGGTCTGAACTTCTAACCCCCTGCCTCAGCCTCGCTAGTGCAGGGTCAGTCCTGGGGCTATAGCTCAGAGGTAGAGTGTTAGTCCAGTGTGTGTGAGGTTTGGTTTCCATTCCCAGTGTTGGAGAAAACCCCAAAAGGTCTATTGTTTTATATGGCCTTTTCCCCCTTCTGAGCCTGACTACCCACCAAGGTCCAGCAATCAATTATTGAAGTCCAGACATCCAAGCCCCCATTGACTCATCAAATCAACCTGTCCAATTAAAATTAAAGACCTCCTCCTAACATAGGGGTTTCCATTTTACCTTCATAAATCATCATTTCCCTATATGCCAAGTCTGTCTCTTCTGTATCCAGAATCAGTTCTTTGTGTCTCCAGAAAAATATCCCTGTCCCCTTCCCTTGTTCCTGTCCCTTCTCCGTCATCCCCTATCTCCTATATCTCGTTCTTACTTCCTGCCCTCTGTTCCTCTGGGGAAAATAAGTCTCTTATGTGCTACGAACTTGGTCTTGGTGTGTCATGATTTGAAACTTTACCTTTCAGTGGGTGTTCAGACCCTGCAGAAGAAATGGGGTTCCCACAGCCCCCATGATTGCCAACTCTGTCTTTGTGATGTTTGCTTCACCATACACCCCAGGTGATCCTTAAAAATGAGTCTGATTGTGGAGGTGCGGGCAGGTCAGCCCAGCACACAAAATGTGATGGCTGCAGGGGCAGGAAATTGATACTACCCTGGGCTACATAGCAAGACCCTGTCCCACACACAATTATTTCAATTGTGATAAATACACAAATAAACTTTCAGCTATTTTAGAGTTGCCCTTCACTGCCGTAAAAACATTTATATTCTTCAGAGTCCTCAGGATGTACATCTTTCATCCTAGCATTCAGGAGACAGAGACAGGCAGATCTTTAAGTTCCAGGCCAGCCTGGTCTGCATAGTGAGTTACAGGATAGCCAGGGCTTCTCAGAGGGAAAAGAGCCTTCACAGTAAACAGCTAAAGAGATAGGTTTTTGGTTAAGAGCACTGACTGTTTTTGCAGAGGTTCCAGGTTCGATTCCCATCACCTACATGGAGGCTCACACCTATTTAACTCCAGATCCTGGGGATCCTCCTCCTTTTTCTGAACTGCACAGGCACCAAACTACCATGAGGCCCACATATATGCTATGCGATGTGTGTATGTTTTCATATTGTGCTGGATAAAAAATGATAAAGGTGTTTCCATTAAGACTGAAGACTGAAGTTCAATGTCTGGATAGATATAGGTATATAGTAGCAGATAGTCCAAAGACCTAAGTTAAAACCAAATACTAATTTTTTTTCAGGTTTTACCCTTGGTTTGGGCTATATACTACTGGGCTATCTATCTATCATTTATCTATCTATCTATCTATCTATCTATCTACTCTGATTCTTAGTTACTCAAACAAGTGTTTGGTGTGAGTTCCTACTTGTAGTGTGGGCCTTAAGTCAATTCAGACACTGGTTGGCTATTCCCAAAGATTTTGCCACCTTCTTTTTGTCCTTCATATTTTGTAGACAGGACATTTTGTAGGTCAAGGGTTTTATGACTGCGTTGGTTGATGTCTGCTTTTCTCTTTCAATAGTTGTCAGAGTACCCTCTCTCATCCAAAAAACTAGAACATAGGGATGCAGGCGCCTTCAGGACGGTTGGACCCCGAGGACACCTGGGAGTCGGGGCCTCCCTGGACTCCACACTGGCAGAGTCGCCTTCCCAGCCGATCAGGACTCAGCGAAGAAGCCCAAGTGAGCTTTAGGGTCAGGTTTTTTGCAGACCCCAGCAGGGACGCCCGAGGGGGTGGTCACCCCAGGTTTTTTGCAGACCCCAGCAGGGACGCCCGAGGGGGTGGTCACCCCAGGTGTGTGCCTGAGCCTTGTCTGGACGATTGTGAGAAAGGCGGCGAGGGCGGTGCCAGTGCTCAGGGAGTCCGGACTGGAGTGAGTTGGAAGAACTTGACGCGGAGTAGAGAGGGACCAACAGGGGCAAGAGTGGCCTCGGGGTAGGATCGGAGACTATGCAGAGGGAGGTAGGATTGGAGACTATGCAGAGGGATGGACTGGGGCGAGGATGGCCTGGGGTGAGATTGGAGAATATGCACCGTGGACCTGCTCCTGGACTTTAAGACAAAAACTCCAGACTGTAAGAAATGTTCTCATTACACCAGGGACTAAACTCCTAAACATATTTTATATGAGGCCGAGGCTTTAAGTTTTCCTGGAAAGACTGAACATAGATATAGAAGTTAAGAGAGAGGGAAAAACAAAGCAGTAGGAAGAAGTTGTCTGCCTTTTTAAACAGGAAAGATCAGGGGAGAGCGCGAACACAGTCCCCAACTAAAAAGAGTTATGCAGCCGAGTTTCCCACATTTGGGGACATAGCAGGGGTCAACACACCACAAGTGCAATGGGTGAGCCTCACCCTAGGAAAACCACCTACATGGCCAAGGTATCTCACCTGCCAGGTAACTGCGTTTCGTGGTCCTGCAGCCCAGACTCAGCACAACCGGCTCTCCACTCTGAACACACGGTCACTTCGCTGCACAAACTCCAGGACCTTATTGGACGTGCACCCCATTCCTTCGACTCGATGCTCCCCGCGGACCAGCTCACCCTTCCACGCCACGCTTGAAATCCAGCGTGTTTCTTCTAATGGTGCTGATGCCACGGTTCCTCCGTGCTCCACATCTGCATAGACCACGCCTCCAACCAGCACTCAGGGGTGACGTCACAGGCATCCTCATTATCCCTTTGCTTGGTGACTTTCTTGCTTGAGGAGAGCTGGATGGAGTGTTGCAGGATCAGAGACAAATCATCTTGAATTATCTCAAATTTCCAAATAGTCGATGGCTGCTCACCGCCACGGCCTAACATCCCTGTCGTTGGTTTCCCTGTGTAGCGACAGACCCCTATCTTCAATCAACACGAAGTCAGAGGCAACAAGTGAGCCAGCCTCAACCAAAAAAAAAAAGGGGGGGGGGGCGGGTAGGGAGAAGAATTGTTGTCTAACAACTGTATCAATTCATTCAATTCATTTAGTGAATACTGAATTTAAAACATGCTTTGAGAGGGATGTGCTGTTCCCGAGTCAGGGTCTGGTGCATGTTAAGTACAGGAACCAAGGGGGGAAAAAGTCTGGAGTGCAGTAGCAACCTAGATTTTGACAGTTGCCAAAAAGTACTCTGGCTTTCAGGCAGAAAATTCCAAATTTCAAGTCTTTCAGAGTTTTCTCATTAACACAGTACCTAATTTCCTAAGGAATAATTTCTGAAAGCCAATACCTATTTTCTTTTTTTTTTAAATATTTTTGTGGTTTATTTAACTTTATTTTATGTTCATTGGTGTGAAGTGTCAGATCCTCTGGAACTGATCTTCAGACAGTTGTGAGCTGCCATGTGGGTGCTGGGAATTGAACCCGGGTCCTCTGGAAGAGCAGTCAGTGCTCTTAACCACTGAGCCATCTCTCCAGCCCGCCAATACCTATTTTCTTTTTGTTTTCATTATTTCCTAGTAACAACTTTCTTTTTTATTACTTTATAAATAATACCAATCAAAATTTTCACTCCCTTCTCATCTACCCCTCCAGTTCTAAGAGAGGGTAAGGCACTCTGCCCTGTGGGAAGTCCAAGGCCCTCCTCCCTCCATCCAGGCTTAGGAAGGTGTGCATCCAAATAGAATAGGATCCCAAAAAGCCAGTCCATGCAGTAGAGGCAAATCCCAGTGCCATTGTCATTGGCTTCTCATTCTGACCATTTGTCAGCCACATTCAGAGGGGCCAGTTTGTTCCCATGCTCGTTCAGTCCCAGTCCAGCTGGATTTAGTGAGCTCCCATTAGCACACTGTCTCAGTGGAAGGCCAACCCCTTGTGGTCCTGACTTCCTTGCTCATATTCTCCCTCCTTCCACTCTTCAACTGGACATTAAGAGCTCAGTCCAGTGCTCTGATGTGGGTCTCTGTCTCTATCTATCTCCATCGGTCTCTGGACGAAGGTTCTATGGTGATATTAAGATAGTCATCAGTCTGCCTACAGGACAAGGCCAGTTCAGGCACCCTCTTCTGCACTGCCCAGGGTCCTAGCTGGGGTCATCCCTGTGGACTCCTGGGGACCTCTCCAGAGCATCTTGCCAACTCCTAAATGGCTCCCTCAATTAAGATATCTCCTTCCCTGCTTACATATCCATCCTTCCTACATCTCAACCCTCCCCCTCCTCCAAGCTCTCCACAACCCTCCCCTTCTCCTTTCTCTCTCCCCATTTCTCCCTCTCCCCTTCCCCCACCCACCCCCATCCCCACGCTCCCAACTTCTGTCTGGCGTCTTCTCTGATACCAATTTCCAGAAGGATCTATATATGTTTTTCTATAGGTTCACCTTATTACTTAGCTTCTCTAGGATCGTGAACTATAGGCTCTATGTCCTTTGTTTATGGCTAGAATTCTATAGTGAGTGAGTACATACCATATTCATATTATTGGGTCTGGGTATTCTCTCTCAGGATAGTGTTTTCTATTTCCATCCATTTGCATGCAAAATTTAAGATATCATTTTATTTTATTTTATTTTTTACCACTGAGTAGTACTCTAATGTGTATATGTGCCACACTTTCTGAATCCATTATTCCATTGAGGGGCATGTAGGTTGTTTCCAGGTTCTGGCTATTACAATTAATGCTGCTATAAATATAGTTGAACAAATGCTTTTGTAGTATGATTGGGCATCTCTTGGGTATATATTCCCAAGAGAGGTATTGCTGTATCCTGAGGTAGGTTGACTCCCAACTTTCTGAAAATGCGCCACACTGCTTTCCAAAGTGGTTGCACAAGTTTGCATTCCCACCAGCAATGGAGGAGTGTTCTCCTTACTCCACATCCTCTCTAGCACAGGCTATCATTGGTGTTTTTTATTTTAGCCATTCTGACAGGTGTAAGTTGTTTTGATTTGCATTTCCCTGAGTTAAGGAAGTTGAACATGTCCTTAAGAATCTTGTGGCCATTTGAAATTCTTCTGTTGAGAATTCTCCGTTCACTTCAGTAATTGGATTATTTAGAATTGTAATGTCTAGTTTCTTGAGTTCTTTATATATTTTGGCGATCAGACCTTTGTCTGATGTGGGGTTGGTGAAGATCTTCTCCCATTTGGTAGGTTGCCTTTTTGTCTTAATGACAGTGTCCTTTGCTTTATAGAAGCTTCTCAGTTTTAGGAGGTCCCATTTATTCGTTGTTGCTCTTATTGACTGTGCTACTGGGGTTATATGTAGAAGGTGGTGTCCTGTGCCCACGTATTGCAGACTACTTCCCATTTTCTCTTCTATCAGGTTCAGTGTGGTCTGATTTATATTTAGGTCTTTAATCCATTTGGACTTACTTGAGTTTTGTGCGTGGGGATAGGTATGGATCTATTTTCATTCTACAACAAGTTGAAATCCATTTATTCCAGCACCATTTGGTTCATTACATCTATTAGTTCTCTCTCTCTCTCTCTCTCTCTCTCTCTCTCTCTTTTTTTTGCAACAATTGTCTTTTATTAGGCACAGGATTTTAAATGATCTCTTCAATTTCTCCATACACAGGCAAAACTATGTGTGCCATTTAACATACTGGAGCTTGACAACTGAGTCACTACCTAGAGAAGGGAAAATTAGCCCCAACCTGCTTAGCCAGGAGGCCAATTCATCTTCCGACCCCCGAGAACATGGAGATGAATATGGTAGACAGACTGTCCCCTGTCTGCACCTTCATTCACCACCATCCGATAGCCCCGGTTCAGGCCCAGGTCCTCAGCACATTTCTTGCCAACAATAATTAAATGTCCTAGAAGACTTTCGTCGTCATCTTCGGCTACAGAAAACTGGGCTATATGCTTCTTGGGTATCACCAGGAAATGTGTTGGTGCTTGAGGGGAAATGTCATGAAATGCAAGACACTGGTCGTCCTCAAAGATGATCTTGGCGGGGATTTCTTTGCGGATGATCTTGCCGAAGATCTTGTCGCCGCCGGGCTTGGCCACTTGAGCCTTGGCAATCTCGTCAGCCATTGCAGCCACTCGCTGTCCTTCCCGCGCTGCCCTATTAGTTCTCTTATTTCTCTGTTAAGTTTCTGTCTGGTTGACCTGTCCATCTCCTACTATTAGTGTGTGGGGTTTGATGTGTGATTTGAGTTCTAGTTCTTTTGCATATGTGGGTGCTTTTATATGAGGGGCATAGATATTCAGGATTGAGACTTCATGAATTGTTCTTGTTATGAGTTTAAAGTGTCCTTCTTCATCTCTTCTGATTGATTTTAGTTTGAAATTAATTTTGTTAGATATTAGGACAACCACAACCTCTTGTTTCTTAGTTCTGTTTGATTGGAAAACTTTTTCCCAGCCTTTTACTCTTAGGTAGTGTCTGTCTTTGAGGTTGAGTTGTGTTTCTTGTAAACAGCAGAATGTTGGATCCTGTTTTTGTATCCATTCTGTTAACCTGTGCCTTTTTATAGGTGATTGATTTCATTGATATTAGGTGATATTAATGACCAGTGGTTGTTAACCCGGTTATTTATTTATTTATTTGTTTGTTTATTTATTTTGGTGGTAGTGTTTGTGTGTTTCCTTTCTTTGAGTTGTTTTGGTAGAGGGTTATCAGATGTCTGTGATATAGTGGGTATTGTTGGCTTCCTTGTGTTGAGGTTTACCTTCTAGTACTTTCTGTAAGGCTGGGTTTGTGGATACGTATTGCTTAAATCTGTTTTTGTCCTGAAATAGATTGATTTCTCAAATGATGGTTAAAGAAAGCTGACCTGGGTATAGTAGTCTGGGCTTGCATCCATGGTCTCTTAGTGTCTGCAGCACATCTATCCAGGACACTCTGGCCTTCAAGTTCTCCATAGAGAAGTCAGGTGTAATTTTGCTAGGTTTGCCTTTATATGTTACTTGACCTTTTTCCTTTGCAGCTCTTAATATTCTTTCTTTATTCTGTATGTTTTGTGTTTTGATTATTTTATGGTGAGGGGATATTTTTTTGTTTTTTGTTTTTTGATCCAGTATATTTGGTGTTCTGTAAGCTTTTTGTACCTTCATAAGAATATCCTTCTTTAGGTTGGGAAAGTTTTCTTCTATAATTTTGTTGAATATATTTTCTGAGCCTTTTGAGCTGGAATTCTTCCAATACCAATTTTCTTAACAAATACCAGGTAAAAAGCAGGGTGTGTGTGAAGAGCAAAATAAAAAGTGTTCTTTGTTTCTTTGTGGGATGACAAAATAAGTCATAATAAGAGAAATAAGAAATATTTCTCTTGTCTACCTCTGACTTTTTCCCGACATCTTAGGGAGGCTGCAGTGTCCTTTCCACTCTCCGAGCTCCATCATGCCGCCCAAGGGTGACAACAAGAAGAAAGATGACTGAAAGTCGGCCCAAAAGGACACAGGCCCAGTAAATAAGTCTGGTGGCAAGGCCAAAAAGAAGAAGTGGTCCAAAGGCAAAGTTCAGGGCAGGCTCAACTATCTAGTCCTGTTTGACTAGGCTCCATATGACAAACGCTGTAAGGACGTTCCTAACTGTAAGCTTATTACTCCAGCTGTGGTCCCTGAGAGACTCAAGGTTCAGGGTTCCTTGGCCAGGGCAGCCCTTCAGGAGCTGCTTAGTAGAGGGCTCATCAAGCTGGTTTCAGAGCACAGAGTCCAAGTAATTTCCACGAGAGACACAAAGGGCGGGGACGCCCCAGCTGCTAGTGAAGATACACAAATAGGTTCAATTTATTTAGAAAAATAAAACTTTTTTTAAAATAAAAATGCACGTTCTGGGCTATAGGGATAATCAGAGCCTTCCCTGCAGTGTTGTGTGGGCTCCACTAGAGGGCAGACATAGAGTTTTACAGGTGCTCACATTTACCTGGTGTCTAATTAAGGCCAGGAATATCTGACTCAGACATTGATATACTTCCAAAATAATATTTTTGGACTATTAGAAAGGTATGCTGTTTTATTCTAGTCAGCACAGTGTATTTTCCAGTTCAACTTAGTGGTGCAATATTTACCCGTTTTATTAAAACCTGGTCTGTTTCCTACGCTTTGGTGACTTGCTATTCATAATTTTCCTTTAATAAGAAAGGATTCTCACAGTATCCAACCCCCAAGTAAACCAAAGACAATAGGAGGTTGTTGTACACAGGTGTCCCCCTCCCAACCGCACCTCTTTCCATCAAAAAAGTATACAAATTGACTTTGCTGATTTCCCTACCAGACAGCATGTGACAGGCAAGGTAATGAATGCCTTAAATACAGGAGCTAAGGTTTTTCGTGGTTTGTAAATTCTGAGAATGTATCAGTGTGCACTCTCCAGTTGGCAAGTCAGCACACAAATGGCTGTAAGTATGGAAAGTTGTTTGTTAAAAGCCTAAAGGCTATCGTCCCTGGGTGGGCTTGAACCACCCGCCCTTTCGGTTAACAGCCCAACGCACTAACCAATTGAGCCACAGAGACTTTGCACAGACCTCTGACAGGTCACCTTGGTGATTCAGGAATATCCAAAGGTCCATGGCGGAGCATCCGGAGCCGGAGGCCTCAAAGCCAAAGGCCCTGCGTCCCGAGTGTCCCGCCAAATCTTCCCCAGCTCCCGCGAAAGTTTTTAACCTGGATACTCGAGGACGCTGAGACCTGGCCGTCACCCGGAGTTCGTGGCCTCCGTGGACTCCACGCTGGCAGACGCGCGTTCCCGGCGCCCGGCCGGACTCCGGGAAGGAGCCCAAGTCCGCTTTAGGGTCCGGTCCTTTGAGACCCCAGGTGTGTGCTGGAACCTCAGCGGGACACGTGTGGGAAAGGTGGCGAGTGCGGTGCCAGTGCTCAGGGAGTTCGGACGGGATGGAGATGGACGAACTTGACCCGGAGTGGAGAGGAACCACCCAGGGTGGCCTGGGGTGTGATTGGGGGCTATGAACCGCGGGGACCAGAGGAGGTGGGGCCCAGGGGAGCCCCAGGGCATATCCTAGAGATTTCTTTGAACTGAGCTGATGCAGTTGGAAGCCGATTTATGTTAGGAAGATAACAAAATGATGAGGGGTGTTTTGTTTTGTTTCGAATGAATCAGAACAAAGGCTTTCTACCAGAGGCTTCTGTCTTTCAGCTAGGGATGTGCTGGTCCCGAGCCCGCGTCTGGTGCATGTTAAGTGCAGGAAAGAATTAAGGAAAGTCTGGAGTCTCAAGCCAACATTTGGGACATGGTTTCCTACAAGTGCTCCTGAACTTTAAGACAAAAACTCCAGACCTGAAGGGTTGTTCTCACTAACCCAGGACATAATTTCCCAAAGATGCCAATTCTAAGGCCGATGTTTTTGTTTTCTTAACAAGGATGGGCAAAAATACGGACTTTTTTATTTTTTAAAAAGGAAGACAGAAAAAGAAACATATAAGAAAGAAAAAGAAAGGAACGGATGGTATCAAATATGAGGAAATGGCATAAGCAGAGGCGACAAACGCAGTCGCAAATTAATAAAAATTATGCAATCGAGTTTCCCGAATTTGGGGAAATCACAGGGGCCAGCACAACACTAGTGCAATTCGGTCACCCTCGCCTGAATAAACCAAAGCCCTGTTGACAGCGCTCACTTAGCTGGGTGAGTGTGCTTTACTTCCCGTAGCCATGACTCAGCCCCACCGGCACTGTGTTTGAATACATGATCACTTGACCGCGCAGACTTCGGGACGTCCCTGGACGCGCACCTGATTCCTGCGCCCCGCTGCCACCCGCGAATCACCGCTCCATTCCATGCTGCACTGGAAATCCCTAGCCTTTCCGCAAAGCCTGTGGATGCAGCATCCCTGCGCGACCCTCATTTGCATATACCACGCCCACAACCGGCGCCCAAGGGTGCCATCACACCCATCCCATTTGTCCCTTTGGCCTGATGGATTTTCTTCCTTGCTGAGAGCTGGATGGAGTGTTTCAGGACCAGAGACAAATCATCTTGAATTTTCTCTAACCCACAGATAGCCAATGGCTGCTCACAGCCGTGCACTAACAGCCTTGTCGCTGGTTTATGTACCCGCAGACCCCTAACTTCTGCCAATAGGAAGTCAGAGAAGCCAGGCAGCAAGGGTAGCCAGCCCTACAGCAGAGGTCTCCAGCTACCCTCGAACCTGCCTACCTCATGTCTCCACCACTGCATTTTACAAGGCTCTTGATGTATGGATTTCTCTGTTCCTTCTACAGAAACACCATGAGACTGACACTAAGTCTGGACATGGTATTTGGGGTGACCCCAGTCTGTGTTCCTGGTCCAGGGGATCCACTCTGCCCTCTCTCGGCCTCCTCAGGCTCCTGCATGTGTATCGAGCACACACGTACAATCAGGCATAAAAACACATACACAAAATAAGTAAGCAGTCTTTTCTGTGTTGTGTTTGTGGGGGAGGGACAGGTGTATGTGTGCCATGACTCGCGTGTGGAGGCCAGCGGACAGTTTGCAGCAGTCGGATCTCTTTCTGCTGTGCCTGCTCCGTGGATCAAGCTCTTGGATGATCAATCCTGACAGCAAGCCCTTGCCTGCAAGCCCTCTCTATGTCCCTTTAAAATCTCTCCCTCTCTGTTCTTCTCTGCCTCTCTGCATTCCTCCCACAAGACCCCACCCCCACCCCAGACAGGGTCTGTCTACATAGTGATGGCAAGAAGAGCTTTGTGCCACCATGCCTGACCCCCTTAAAACCTCTTTAGCCCACGTGCAGACATAATACAGCAATTTAAGGTTTTCAGATGATCGTACCGTTTATCATTGCATCATACGCGGCAATTTCTCTTCTATAGTGTGTTTGGGTTAAGGCAACACCTCCGCCCCTGGCATCCAAATACACAAAAAGTCTGGAATGTTTGAGTGGAAAGCTCTCAAATCCCTTCCTCTGGGCGTTGCCTCTGTATAGAATTCACCTCAGAGAAAGCCTGTCTAAGGGTGACCCCTCCCCAGAAATGCTCAAGACCACTCCCACAGGGTATTTAAACTGCCCCCCCCCCCCCCAGGGACAAACTTGTGGTTTCTCTCTCTTATTTCCTCATCTCCTCTCTGAGGCCTGGAAGGTCAGTGAGAGAATTAGTATTCATTCAAAACATGGGCTTTTTCTGTATCAGTTTGATTTGGTCTGATTTGGATTATTGTGTCCGTGGAGAGGTTTTTGTGTCTCAAAACCTTTTCACAATGTTTTTGAAACAACGACTGGAGAGAGGTTGGGATTCTAAAACGGGGACTAATTTCCAGGAGAAGGACATCAGAAACTGTCTGGGCCCTCTCGTTAGTGGTGCAAAATACTTCAATCCACCCAGACATGGTGTCTAACAAAAAACAGGAAATATTTAACCCAAGTGACTGTAGGCATATGAGTAAAATCAAGCTGCCACTCAGTCCCTAGAAAGGAGCCCATAGCCTGGAGGTTGGGAAAAGGGAAGCTACGATACTTGGACTTGGAATCTGACTTTTGACAGATTTTATAATAGGCAGTGATAGGTTTTAAGAACTCTAAGTCCTCTGGGGTGTGTTAGAGGTGAGCCTTGACAACGTGAGACAGAGCCTGACTATTTGGATGAAGAGTTGATGTAGGTAGGACAGAATTGGCCAAGTGTCAGTTGGTGACTGTGAGAATGTGGGCCGTACTGTATGAACCCCCTGAGGTGATTGAGGTAAGTCTGGCCCTGGAAGGCTGCTGCCCTGGCAGCTTGGTGAGCTTGGTTGTTTTCCTTATACATGATGGAGTCTGATCCCTTAGAGATGATTAGATTCTGATAAGACCAGCAGTGAATAATTCCTATAGCTCTGCAGAGATGGGAGGTCTTTAACATGGCCATCATGTGGTCTAGTTAGTTATGGATCCTCCTTTTGGGGTAAGAAACCCTTGCTCTTTCCAGATAGCACAGACAGCAGGGCAAATAACAAGCCAATTTTTATTCAGTGTGGGAAGAGAGGGGACCCCTGTGGACAACCTCCACCTGATATCTGGTTTATTAGGAGAAGGGGAGAGTGCGAATCTTTTCTTAATAAGGGAAAATTATGGACAAGTCACCAAAGCACAAGAAATGAACCAGAAATTAACAGAACAGGTAAACTTTACACCACTGGCTAAAGATATCCATACAGCAGAATGACCAAAGTGTAATTCATAATCACAAAACCCTAGAACCAAGTTATTTCAAAAAATCACTTCGTGTGGAAAGACCAAAATAAATCCAACAAATGACCAGCCTCTGTCATGTTTGGTAAGGAGTCCAGGCACTGGCAGTGACTGTTTTGGCCTCTGCAGGTGAGTAGCATCTGTAGAAGGTGCAGGTCGGCTGGTTTGCTCCCCAGCTATCCAGAAGGAACCCAGAGCAGTTCGCCTCGTCCCCAGGTACCCCAGTCACCATGGAGAGATGAGCCATAGAGGGCTATCACGTGCTTGGGGAGAATATTGCGCCTGTAAGAGAAGCATCGACCCACGGACTTCTCAGTGACTGCCCTCACCACCCTACCAAGGCACAGATGCATTTACTCGGTGCAGTTCACAATACATAGGCGTTGGAGAAATCACTTCTGCAGGACAGGCCAGTCAGAAGGAAGCCTCCCAGTCTGAAAAGGGCAGAACTTGACAGAGACTCTGGTGAGCACCCAACATCAGGCACATGGCTCACTGTGATTGTATAGTGGTTAGTACTCTGCATTGTGGCCACAGCAACCTCGGTTCAAATTCCAGTCAAAGCAATCGTTGTCCTTCCTGTCTGGTGTGCTGTTTCTTGCCACCATAAACCTACACCTAGCTAATGTCTTGACACAGACTCAAGTATCCCTAGTTAGAGTCCCGCGGACATGGAGGAACTCAAACACTATTAGTACAGTTTGCAGCTTGGAGTCTTCACTGTCAATCACGCTGTCTCAGGTGGACTCACAAAATCGCCTTCAATGTCAATCACCCTAAGCCCCAGGGCATAGTAAGCACCATCTTTGAGCAACACCCCTACCCCTGGCTTTGGTCGTGTTAGCATGATGCAGGTGAATGTTCCTATCTGGTATTTTGTCTTAGTAATAACACATTAGTGGGAAAGCTTGTTTTCTATGTCCTGGCCTCCCCTTTATGTGTGCTCCCTGTCCCTAAGGGACCTGAGCCACATCATAGAAGTCCCAGGTTCTCAAAGAGACAGGAAGGAGCCTTCTTCTGAAGACTCTGAAGCAGGTGGTGTCGAGGATTTGAAACTTTGGAGCTCCAGAACCAGAAAATTCCATCCTTGCTCCTTCAATCCATCTGGATTGTAGCCACTTATGACAACCCAGCATCCATATTTGGTGCCCAAGAAGACACACGGTGAGTTCTCCATGCAGTGGTTCTGAGATACTACCAACAAGTCCTGAAGTTCTCTCTGGTCTTCTGTCTCTCCCACCTGGAACAAGCAGAGAAGGTCCCTGTGGAGCCTCCTCTAACCGCACAAAAGGGCTCAGATCACTTGGTTCTTCCTTCCTGAGACCACTCTT